AGAATATATCACAAGGAAATATATCAGCAAAAATTCTGATTGGCAACAGTTATAACAAAACAAATTGTTTTTTTCAGATTATAGAAAAGATGAACATCCACACTATGATTCAGAGAATATATCACAAGGAAATATATCAGCAAAAATTCTGATTGGCAACAGTTATAACAAAACAAATTGTTTTTTTTTTTTTCAGATTATAGAAAAGATGAACATCCACACTATGATTCAATTCTGTTGTGTCTCAGTCAGCTCTGCTATAGAAGTAGCTCTGAAAATTCTTTCCTACAAGCTGTTAGGGGAGAGTGGGGGGCTACCATCTTAGAATACCTAAAAATGGGGCTGGAGTTGTAGCTCAGTGGCAGAGTGCTTGCCTAGCATGTATGAGACCCTGGGTTCTATCCCCAGCACCACATAAAAGAAAATAAAAATAAAAGTATTGTGTTTATCTACAACTAATTCATATAAAAGTACTGTGTTTATCTACAATTAATACATATATACATTATGTTTATATATTTTTTTAGAAAAAAGAAAACCTAAAAATGATGATTTGACCCCCCCCCCAAAAAAAAAAAGATTCAATGAGTCCAAATCCTTGCCTACTTAATACCATTGAGGACCAAAGTTGAGTGAGAAAGTGTGGTCCTCAAAATTCAGATCTAGAACTGTCCCTTTTACTCAGCTGTATGATTTAAGGAAAATCACCTGATTTTTCCACCCAATACCTCAACTTCTATAAAAAACATGAAAGTATAAGTCACCAACATCAAGAAGTAATGATGTCTTATAGAATTAAAAAATGCTAGTAAAGTTAGTCTACAAATACCCAGAGCAGAATATAAGACTGTAGTAGAAAGGTATTAAATTAAATACTTGAGAAATTCTTTTACTATATTATTCCTTGATACCACTACATTCCACTATCTACCTTTAAATCAATGGTTCAACAACTGGCAATCAGTTACTATTTTTATACCCTAATAATAACACTTATAAACAAGAGAAAAATGGACATTATTTCACTTTAGGGTCAGAAAACCTTTTCTATAATCAATATTCTGTGGGGACCCAATTAGAGAACCACTAGAATCTAAATGATCTTGAAAGTTTACTCCAGCCTTCATAAGATGCTGATATGTTCACAATATACGAAATTTTTTCACAAAAATATAATCCTATGACTTGATATTATAGTGTTAAGAATGGTGAGACCTTGGAGCTTCTTCTTTTTTGGTACCAGGGACTGAACTCAGGGGCACTTGACCACTGAGCCACATCCCCAACCCTAATTTGTATTTTATTTAGAGACAGGGTCTTACTGAGTTCCTTAACACCTTGCTTTTTGCAAGGTGTTATTAAAATTAAAATTATTATTTTCCATTTGGGGAAATACAATTTATTTATTAAATAAATAAAATTATTAAAATTATTATTTTCCATTTGGGGATCAAGGCGCAATAAGTACAAGAAAAGGAAGAAGAAGAAGACATGTTTTAATAGAAATTTTTCTTCCTTCCTGGTCCTTTTAAAATTAAATCTCTCCATTTCTAAGATGTTAAGTAAAAAACTTTTTTGTATGGGGCTGGGGTTTTGGCTCAGTGGTAGAGTGCTCACCTAGCATGCATGAGGCACTGGATTCGATCCTCAGAACCACATAAATGTAAAATAAAGATATTGTGTCTACCTAAAACTTAAGAATAAATATTTTTTTAAAAAAACTTTTTTGTATAACCTCACAGTAAGATAGCTATTTTGTAATTTATTTGTTCCAGGTATCAAGAGTATCTGAATTTCTGAAAGTATTATCTATTTTTAGGAGCAAAGGTCGTAGACCTTGGAGTTTCAAAAAGAACACAAAACCCAAATATAAATAAATAAATAGACCTTTATCCTTTATTTAAAAAAAAGAACACAAAAACCAAATTCAAATTCAGTACAAACCTGCTCCCTAAAAAGCAATTTCACTTTGGCCTGCTAAAATAACTTTTAATTTCATTTAATTAAAAGAACAATTTTGAAAATGTCAGTTCCATTATACTTACTAAAGTGTGTCTGGAGGACCAATAATAAGGACTTCCCATCGATAGAGATCATTGTCATCTATTAAACCTGCTGAAAAGCCTTCCACTGGATTTTTGTTGAGTTCTGTGGAAAAAGAAAATTTTGATCAAAACTTTCAAGCACATAATTTTCATCCAATTTATAAACTGTAGGACTTGAGAATGCATGCCTTAAATTCTAAACCCTCAAATGGATACAACTCGCCAGGCAAAATGGTACTTGACAAACACATGTAGTGTCCATACTACAAGATAATAGCAACTATTCAGCAGATCAACTTCTATTGCCTTCTTACTCTGTCCAGCCAAACTCTTAACTAGCCGTCTTTAAGAGAGACTGGTACAAAGAAGATGTCCAGACCCATTTTCAGCTCAGAGAGAACTAGCCATTAAATCAGAAATGGTAATTCTGATGCTGAGGTCTTTAGGGCACATTTTCAGAAACATTGACAGAGTACCAAATAATACTTTTTTCATTGGAATTTTCAGAGTTTAACCAACTCTTATTTCTATTAATATGTGTATATCTATTTGACATGTCCCCTGTAATCTAGGGACACACATCTCTTAAGTGGTGATCTCCCAAGTGGCCCACCATAACTAGCACCACCATAACTAGAGCAGAGGCTCCATCTTTCCTGCTTGTGTGTGCTGAATGCTCTGCTAGCCACAGCTTCTAGCACACAGGAATAGCTTCAGAATAACAGCTGTTGTCTACAAGAATGGCTGAGGCATGGTGAAGTTTTTACTCTTGTAAGGAGAGTACCCTGGCACAGAGAAAGAATGATAAGGGTGGGGGACAAGAACAGAGACAAGGAATTCAAGGGGTAGGGGAACACAGGCCAACAGAAAATCTTAGCAGGAAGGGATACACAGTCTAAACAATTTTGGGAGACACAGGACTTAATAATATAGTGACCTACTCAGAGTGGACAAGTCACAATCAACATCCTTCTTAAAAGCTTTAATGAGGTATATAAATGACATTTTGTGAACTGCACACATACCCAATTTGGTTAAGTATTGATGTTTGTATACACTTTTGAAGTCATCGCCCAATCATGATAGTAAACATATATGTCAATTACAAACAACACTATGAACTGTTTTTTCCTGCAAAAAAAAAAAAAAAACGGGGGGGAACTGAGGACAAAGAAAGTAGTCCAGAAAGGACTTGCTGGAAATCTAAGTAAGAGTGTGATTCTCGTGTAACACCTGCCATCATCTTCAAAACATTCCATCTAATCATGGAAGCAAGTGTAACACAATCCACAGTGCTATAAAAGACTGAACAAAGTGTGCTGGTAACTGAGAAGGAGGTATTAATTCTTTGAGGATTCAGGGATAGTGTTATTTCAACAACTAGGACTTAACACCCAACAGGTCAATGAAACATGGAGAGAGTAAAAAGTAAAAGTTTATATTTAAATATGAAGAGCTTTTTTTCTCAAAATTTTATAAGTCTATTATTTTTGCCTGGTAGGCATAGTAGACTTTTATAAATAGCTAAAACTACAAGAAATGCATTTTTACTTTTAAATAGATATTCTAAATTTTTATTAAAAAATACTGAAAATGCAAAGACATTAAGATAGGATTTGTGGCTGTTTATGCAAGCATACCTTTACTGAGTGCCAACTATATTGCAGACATAGGAGAAAAGAAAAGAAAGTCCCATTTTTACTGTCGACTGAAGGATACAGTGAAATGCTCAGACAAATGTAATATGGGCAGTCACTTTCTATATGAGTTCTCTCATTTCTAACCACTTTCCAGACAAACATTATTATATAGTCAGCCCTCTCTATATTTGCAGGCTCCACATCCACAGATTCAACCAACCACAGATTTAAAACAAATTTTTAAAGGACGGGGAATGGTATTGGGAACATTTCTGGGTGGTAGAGAGCATTTGCCTCCTATGCATCAGACCCTGGGTTGGATCCCCACAAAAGAATTGCATCTGTGCTGAACATAAACTTTTTTCTTGTTATTGTTCCCTAAACAATATAGTATAACAACAATTTACATAGCATTTATATCATATTAGGTCTTATAAGTAATCTAGAGATGTTTAAAAGTACATATGAGGTTATCGGCAAATGGTATGCTATTTTACACAAGGGATTTGAATATTTAGATTTTGGTATCTGAGGGAATGATGTCCTGGAATCAACCCTCCATAGATACTGAGGGACAACTGTATTACTCAGATCTTCTTCTCCAATCATGATTTTATAACTTATCCAGAAATCACCTAGTTTGTTGCAGTTTCCAACAGAAGTCCAGTGAAGTTTTATAAAAGTACATAGGTAGCAAGCTCTGAAATTAACACATGAGGTCAAAATTACCCTTGAAAATGTCCTTACACTTTCCATAAAGCATATCATTGTTTATATTACTTTTGTCAATACACCCTAATTTTTGAAACTCATACTCTTTCATGATATGATGTCTACAGGCATGATTGTGTCCACTGCACATTTCAATTAAGTGGTGAAGTAAGGCTCAAAAATGTCCCAACATCTCACTTTTATCATGGCTTTTGCCCCCAACATGGATCCTCCTAGGCCTGGTTCCATGACAAATTATTTGACAGGTTTAAATGCACCTATAGTGGTGGGCCATTATCATATCTTCATGAATGATTCCTTCAAGGTCTAGTTCAAGAAGGCCTTTCCTAAATAACTTACAAATAATCTTTTAACATTTTGCTAAATTCCTATTCATTATACTTTATTACCTGGCACTAGACTGTTATTAGTTTCTGATTCCCAGAGAAGTAAATAGATAATGGCAATGTCGTAAATGCTCTAACAACAGTACAGAAATAGGGGGCAGTCCAACAAAGAAAGGCATATAACATAATCACTGAGAGTCACAAAAAGCTTCTCAAACGAAAAATGAGACAAAGAATTGGATGAAAGGTATAGGTAGAGAAGCATATGCAAAATTTGAAATATGGAGCTGAATCTACTACTGAAGTAGGGCACACAAATGGAACTAGACAGAATGGCAGGAACTGGATAGCAAAGGGCCTTCAAGGATATGTAAATGTGGACTTTATCCAGAGGGTAGTGAAGTTATTTTGTCTTTTTTCCCTTCCTCCTATTCTCCTCCCCCCCCACCTTTATTTTTTTTTGGGGGGGTGGTGGTTTTGTTTGTTCATTTGTTTAAGAGACAGAGGTCTCACTATGTTGGCCTGATTATGGTCTTGAACTCTCCTGGGCTCAAGTGAGTCTCCTGTCTCAGCCTCCTTGGCACTAAAACTGCATTCATGACCACACTTCAAACATGCTCCCCACTCCACTGTTTTGTTTTTCTCAACAATGGGTTGACCTCATGAGATTTACATTTCAAAAACCAATCTTGTGTGTGTAGAAATTACAGAAATAGCGTCATGAGGAAGACTAAGAAAATTAAAAGGTAGCTATTAACATGAATCCTGGAAAGTGTATCTTAAGTATAGGGCAGGAGAAAAAAATGAATGAAAACAGAAATATTTAGAAAATAAAATTAATTAACCAAACTTGGTTATGTGGGGGATAAAGTGTAAAATGTCAAAATGACATACAATTGCGGGTGTGTGGTGCATGCCTGTAATCCCAGCAGCACAGGAGGCTGAGGAGCCCTGGTTTGCTCACTGGGGTCTTCCCTCTGGCTGGGCTCTTTGGAGTTCAAGGTGCATAGGGACATAGTGTGGAAACACAGTCTCTTCACAAACCCTGTGGAAGGGAGAACAAAGGTGTACTCAAATTTTCTTCTCAGGTAATGGGCATAGAATGATGAAGTGATTGGCAAAGACAGGATCTGAACCCAGTTGTTTAGATTTCACATTGAGTTTTCTTCTCCATGATCCCCTCTGCTCCATAAGGTGAGGCGTGATAATAAAAGCATCAATGGTACCAGGTGTGGTGGCCCACACCTGTAATCACAGCGGATTAGGAGGCTGAGACAGGAGGTTCGCAGTTCAAAGCAAGCCTCAGCCTCAGTGAGGCAATAAGCAACTCAATAAGACACTGTCTCTAAATAAAATACAAAATAGGGCTGGGATGTGAATTGGAAGTTCAGCATCCCTGAGTTCAATCCCTGGTACCCCCATGCAAACCAAAAACAGACATATAAGCCCTCAAAAAGTTAAACATAGAGTTGCTATTATGACCCAGCAATTCCACTCTTAGGTATATTCCCAAGGGAAATGAAAGCATCTGTCCTCATAGAAAATTATACATACATGTTTATAGCAGCATTATTCACTATAGCCCAAAGGCAGAAGAAACAACTCAAATAGCTTCTTCAATGAATTAATAGACAAACTGTGGAATAAACATATAATGGGTTATTATTCAGCCATAAAAAGAAATACAGTCCTGGGGCTGGGGTTGTGGCTCAGTGGTAAAGCGTTCACCCAGCACATGCAAGGCCCTGGGTTCAATCCTCAGCACCACATAAAAATAAATAAAATAAAGAGTATTGTGTCTAACTACAACTAAACAACAATTAAAAAAAAAAAAAGAAATGCAGTACTAATACATGGTAAGATTTAGATGAACCTTAAAAACATGAGAGTAAACCAAAGTGCCACACCTATAATCCCAGCTATCCAGGAGTCTGAGACAGGAGAATCACAAGTTTGAGCCAGCCTAGGCAATTTAGTGAGACCCTATCCCACACTAAATAAAATACAGAGGGCTTGGGATGGGGTAGTTCAGTGACAGAGACCTGGGTTCAAACCTTGGGAGTGAAGAGGGGAAAAAAAACCTCAGGCTACAGCTGTGGATGTAAACTGAGGCAAAGTGACTGCCTACCCTATAGAAGATCCTGGGTTTAATCCTCAGCACCACAAAAAAACAAAAACAAAAACAAACATCAGACTAAGGGAAAGAAACCAGTTACATAAAGTCACATATTATATGACCTCTTTTATATGATAAATCCAGGACAGGCAAATTTAAAAGACACCAAGAGCAGAATAGAGGTTACCAATGGATAGGAAGTGGGAGAAATGGAGAGAGAGTTACTTACTGAGCTTGTAGGAGTGGCTTATGGGTTGATGAAAAGGTGCTGGTGGTTACACTCAACACC